CCAAAGTTTAGTCGATCTGGTTTACAGAAGAGTTATCATATAGATCCTGTTTCATACAGCTTTTTTTGTAACTAAAAATCATTATTGAACAATAGGAATTCATAAAATGTCTTCTATGTTTTTACTGAAAAATATATAAATTCAATACTCCTTTGATATTGATAATATGTGACTGTAGTATGAGATATAAGGAAAATGTTTTCACTTTCCTAACTAGCTGAGGACTCAACTATCAGAAAGTTAAAAATTTAAGCAAAATAAAACCAAACCATAGATCCTTTCTATTCAAGGAGAAAAGAGTAAATTGTCATGACTTTATGAGTTTGGCCTCACTTCTTACATCATTGTCAAAAGCACTTAAAATTGCCAATATTTAGCTCTAAAGGAATTTTCATGACTAAGACACAAGACCAGCTGTTTATGGAAATAGTAGCAGAATCTCAGCTGTGACAGTGCTGGGAATGTTTAAGTTAATAGGCAATACAAAGAATTTTCTCTAAAGAAAAGTGCATGTGTATGTATGTAGGTGTGTGTGTGTTTATGTGTTGTATGAAACCAATAGGTGTAGAATCCTAGGTGGTGGATCTTTTCTCTCATAAATAAGCCAACAATCAGAGGATGTTTCTCACTACAGATGCTAAGGAACATTTAATGAATTATTGTTGGACAATATCAATGTAGCCTTAATGTGATGAATGCTGTTATCTGAATGTTTATCTGAATATTCTATGGGTAGTAGAAGAGTTGATGGAAAATTAGAAGCCCATGAAAGTAGATGTTGCAGATAGACCTGTTGTTCAGTATAGTTGGTGTAAGATTTTATCTGAATATAATATTTAAAAGTAAGATAAAAAGGAAATTCTTCATATGATCCCACAGGATGTAAAGGGAGGTAATCGTAGCAGTTCTTCAGGAAGATCAGCCTTTAACAGAAGTGGGAGAAGTTACTTCTAGAAGAGCTGTACTAATGGAACTTTGCTGGGAATTAGGGCCACACTTGTTTTCCAGCTGTGGAGTCCCACCGCTCCGACAGCCAAATCTGACCAGCTGACGTGGTGGGGAGGCTTTTAGTAGTTTCCTCTTTTGGTGATTTGGCTACAACTTGGATCAAATTTGTACAATAAGGTGGAAATCAGTAATAAAATAGAATTAGATGTAAAGAAATTCACAGTGTCAGCTTTAACTGATTACATATAAGTCATAAAAGAAACTGAGCAATGTATCTATGACATCCTGAAATCTGCCATCCTGAAGTCTGAATTGCTAGTGATATTTCAGTTCAAAATCTGTAGACACAGCTGATACTCAGTGAATACTTTGGAGTTAATATCTATCTCTTCTAGTGTTAATTAGCACTGTCCTGGTCCCCTGAGAGTCTCCCTGCCATGCAGCCACCGTAGTCTCCACCTCCTCACCCAGGACCCCAGACCACTCCATAACCCACAACCAGAGACAGTATCTGGCACAGAGAGTGCCAAGGCTGGCTGTTGTCTAGGGCCTATGGAGTATTAGTTGCTAATTATTTTAAATATAGTCCCTGACTTAGGTTTTTTCCTTTATTAGTATTATTTCTCTACAGACTAACATAGTGGTGTTAGAATTTTCCACATGATACTTAAAGTTCCCTTATGCCCTTCATTCAAAGTGGTACCTTAATTTTATCAATGACTTAATTCTCATTATTTCTGCATACACACTATGAACAACTATGTTGCATTTGTTTTTTAATGTATCAAAGATAATGAGCAGAGACTTTCAGCATATAAATCATACCTAGGCATCCTCTAAATGTTTGCTGGTTTTGTTACCTAAATAATTTTTACTCATGAGAACTTCCGGCTAATCTGCTTTTGTTTTTAATTTAGCTTCTTTTTGAACATCTTGCAGAACAATCTAATGGGGCAAGTTTAATATTTCAAAAGTGGTGGGATCAAATCCAGTTGAGAGTTCTTGGAGTAAAAAACTGAACAAACTGAAAACTCAAGGGAATGCAATTAAAATAGATTTTGAGACAGAAATATGTAAAAGATGTTGAAGATAAAATGGAAACAGAACTAGCTTTTAACATAAGGTGTACATGTCACTGGGCTCAATGGCATTGTTAGACTAGTACTAGGAACAACCATTTTAAACAGTGAAATTCATCACAAAACCTAATAATAAACTATAAGAAATTTTTAAAATATCAAAATTGAATTAGAATCAACTGTTGGACTTGCATGATCATCTCTCAAAGATTATTTCAGAATGATTTATCTTCTTGAAGTCTCTTTAATTCCATTTTCCTGTGGTCATTCATACTAATGTGTGGTTTTTCATTAAAAATTAGTTGGGGCAAGTCTATGAGTTTGTTCATTTTATTCAATGTGTCAGTCCAAGGTCTAGTTCACAGTTTCTGAGGCAGAAACTGGCTGTCTTGCTTGCATTGCTGCAATTGTTTCATTAGTTGGCTGTTCTCAGCTTGTGTCAAGATATCGAATGCCTATCACTCAAACACTGTTGTGAGGTTAATGGCCTTCTGCTGATTTCTGTTCCCTCCTGCCTCTGAGTATTATCATGGGTCATTAATTGCTGGTTCTGGGGGAGAACGGATGTGATACCAGTGTTGGCTTAGTGTGATGTACTGTAATTAAGAGTACAAAGCTTCAGGGCTTTCTTTTTTAACCAGTGTTTAAGTTCAGTAACACTCCCAGCCCTCCACTACTGACAGATTTTCTTGAAGGGCTGCAAAATTAAATACATAGTAAAAAGCACCTTTAATCCCAACAAGAATAACATTTGTGCAGATGAATTTTAAGAAAGCAATAAAGCTATGCCTTAATTTCTTAGCATAAAATAATTTGACATAATTGTATATTAGATACTTGAGTTTGTTTCCCAAGACCAAATCTAAACTGAAATCAGAGATAGACTAAGAAAATAGTGGAGGCAATGTGCAGCAGATCGGAGATCAGAAATGATGATAGAGAGGGATCAGTGGCAGTTTTTCAAGTTGACAGCAGAGATCAGAGGTGAACCAAAGAAGCTAATGAAAAACAAAACAAAATAGCATGACCATTCTGGAGACTGGATAATCTTGGCATACATGTTTGGTGGTAAAGGTCAAGGTATGAACAGTAGAACAAGAGCGCTTCCAGGCTGGTGGAGTTAGCTAAATCTTATGCACTGTAATAGCCCTGCTGTGTATGTTCTTTGTTAAGGGCTGATATGATCATCCATATTTGCAGCTACATCACTAAGTAATTAGGAAAAATCATTCTGTTCAATATGTAGAGATATATGAAATTCAAGTATGAGAGGTTTTTTTTAATGAAACTTTTGTTGCCTTACAAATTTAAGTCTTCACAGATGCTGTTAGAGCAGAAGTAAATTAGTGATATCACAACAATGAAGTTTGATAAAGGAGTGATACTCTGTTAAGTGGTCTCAAGAATTATTTTAAGCTTTATTTGTGTTTCTGGTTAATATCTTAAATTATTATATATATATATAAAATGACTTAAAATCATTTATAAATATCAAATAGGTGGTTAAAATTAGTGCTCTAATTTTAAACAGTGCTGTATTAGTGTTGTATAAAACTTTAAAAATACAAGTATAAATAAAAATTACATTAAAAATTTCCCTTCCAAATTCTGAATAATCTATTAATTCACAGATTCTGGACATTTTGTTGGCCTTAGGCTTCATTCCTAGAGAAATATGCAACAAAACCACCAATAGTTAAGATTAAGGGAAAGGTAAATTTAAATGAATTGGACTTCAATTTAATGAAATTCTGAATCAGGGAAGGTTTAAAAGAAATGCAGTGTTGCTGCTTTTTCACTCATAGAGGAATTAATTTCAGTTAGCCTAATAGAGCATTTTTTTATGTAAAATTAGAAGAAGTAATTTTTATTTTTATTTTAAATTTTATATTTTATTTTATTAAAGTAATATATGTTTACCATGAAAATGGAGCTTCTAAGGCTGAAAAACAATTTGTTCTCCAGACATATTTATCACTTAATATGTTGTTTTTAGCTACTCATTCAGCTGTCTTTGAAAGACATGTTTAGCCAAATTTCAGTTTATGCTGATAATCTATCCAAATTATCAGAAATTGACAATAATTAGGAATTGATAAGATTTTACTAGCTTCTTTATTTCATGATGTATTTGTTACCACTATTCCCTAAGCCTTCATTTGTTTCTCCACATTTAAAATGTATTCCTCTGTTTGTTTTAAGGACTTGATTTTCTAAGTTCAAATTTTGGAAATTTTATTTGGGGATTATGATTGTATAAAAAGGAAAAAGATATTGGCTGAGGGATTAGAGCTCATACACAGTATGTCCTATAAAACCAGAAAATATTCAGAAAACTGGTAATGAGAATTTTTTTCAAAAATTACTCTAGAGACTATTCTAGAAGTCTATCCTGTCACTTCTAATACAATATTATATTAATAAATTGTTTATTACTAGAATTACCTTTCTTCAATTCCAGTTTTAATGTATTTGCTCTCATTTACAATAAAACCAAATGTTTATACCTTTAATTTGTCACCTTTCATCTTTTTTCATGGTACCTTATGTAAATTGCTTTTATTCACTTGTTTTTAATTACTAAATTCTTTTATGAATTATGCTTCTTCATGCTTTTGACCTTTTAACTCCCTTCACTATATATACCACAAATTTCTTTAGCTACTTTTACTTGCTGTGGGAACCAGTGCATAAAATCAAAGCCAGAAAAATTATGGCTTCCCTTAACAATTCCTTGAAATAGATTTAAAAAAATAAAAAATAATAACAAAAACAAAAACTTTCCTTGAAGTACTATGTGTATAATTTTCTAGCAAATCAATCTGCTTTCATAAATTCAAAGTAATAATCTAGAAAAGAAATTGAACCAATGATTCAGTGGGAGAAGATGTTTTGACTGGTTCTTTAGTCTTAATTCAGAATAGCATTGAAAATATAGTTCATATAATTAATACCCAGGCATCTGTTTTTCAGGCCAAAAGGTGTGTTTTGCTGACTTCAAACATCCCTGCTACAAGATGGCCTACTTCCACGAGCTGTCCAGCCGAGTGAGCTTTCAGGAGGCACGCCTGGCTTGTGAGAGTGAGGGGGGAGCCCTTCTCAGCCTTGAGAATGAAGCAGAACAGAAGCTAATAGAAAGCATGTTGCAAAATCTAACAAAACCAGGAACAGGGATTTCTGATGGTGACTTCTGGATAGGCCTTTGGAGAAATGGAGAGGGGCAAACAGCCGGCACCTGCCCAGATCTCTACCAGTGGTCTGATGGAAGCAGTTCCCAGTACCGGTGAGTGGACGTCCTGAGGAACTGAATCTTGTCTGGGGGTGTGAAAGGGTGAAGAGAGACTTCTGTTACCAGTAGAGGATGTCAGAGTAGAATGGGTGATATCACTTAGAGTGTTCCTGTTCTGTCTTTCCAGAAACTGGTATACTGATGAACCTTCCTGTGGAAGTGAAAAGTGTGTTGTGATGTATCATCAACCAACGGCCAATCCAGGCCTTGGAGGCCCCTACCTTTACCAGTGGAATGATGACAGGTGCAACATGAAGCACAATTACATCTGCAAATATGAACCAGGTAGGAGGTATTGTAAGTTGGTAAGCAGATTTTGTGCATGTTTGCTTACATTTTTATCTTTAAGCTTCTCTATCCTCGGCTGCTTTTGTTTTTTTGCCATGAAATACAGAATTCTTTTGCAGCTTGTATCACTCAGAGTACTAAAGTACACTGCATATTGTAAATGCCTAGTGGGTAAAATAGAAGGGAGTAACTAGGAACATCTGAAGATGTTTCTTTAAGAGAAAATTACAGGTCTAATATTAAGGTCAAACTATGTTTTTGTAAACAGAATTTTTGAGGAATAAGTATCTATTTTAAAATATTTTAAAACTTTAGTTTAATGTGTGTGAAGTAGATATAAGCCACACATATGCATGTGAACAGCAGCTCTTTAGATGATTATCTATCTGGTGAGTTTAAGGGAACAAGGCACCTTTCTCCTAGGACATTTAGCCCATTGTTTCATGGCACAATACTTGGTGCATGCTCCTCAGTGGAAGTCAGACTGGTAGTAGCTCACAGAGCCATAGAGACCACAAAGTAGGGGCATGTGCCACGTTCTTCCCATGATCCTCATTCTTTGGAGTGTGCCTCCTTAGGTAGCTTTTGTTTGAAGTCTCCAACTTCGTGCTGTGAGAATTGCACTGACTTGAGCTTCACTAATGTGGTTTCCTGTTGAAATAGCCAATTTGAGTTATTTAAATAGGATAGTTCAACTAAACTGATATTTTACCAAAGAGAGACTAATCAAAACTGTGTAAATCAATTTTTTTAATCATCCAGGAAAGTCCCATTAGATATTTAGGCTTTGAGATTTTTATGTTTCTCTCCTCCTTGGTAAAAAAAGTGTCATTTTTACTCTTCAGAGGCACTGTCTGCTTGACCTCATAACTTGTTCACAGAAGGCAATTATAGTCAAGTACTGGAATTTCCATCATTCTCTTGAAAGGATATGATTCCTCTTCTCATAAGACTCTAAAGCACAAGGGATTATTTGGATTAGATTTACCCTTCTCTTATATTTATCTTGCTCTTGAGTATATTAGCTGACTTTCTGTACCCCTGGTGAGTTTATTCTTTAAACTTCTTGGCTGCTAAATCCATCATTACCATCCTAGAAGCCTTTGCAAAGCTAAATCTCTTATGGTCTTTTGTTCTTTGTGTTTATTTTGTTCTTGGAAAAATAAAAAGTTGTAATTCTCTGTTATTTTAAATTTGCAACGCTATGTACTTGAGACTATTACATGAAACACAGTGTGTTGTTCTAAGTAGAGTATTCTTAATGCAATATTGTCCTCTCCTTTCTTTGAGCCTTTTAGGTGAACTATTTGATCCTTTATACATTTGCTTATTTTATTTTATTTTATTTTGTATGCCTATTTACGCATTATTCAGGATGCTCTCAAAATCAACTCAGTTGAAAATCCATGTGTAAATTTTGAGTTCCCCAAAACTTAAATACTAATAGCCTGGTATATATAAAATGGGTCAATTGACTTCATATGCAACAAAGAATAGAAAGGTGGAAAAGGAATGGGAGGTTTGTAGGGTCCAACAGAGAAAAGAGAGCAGGCAGAGGGTGACTTAGCTGCTCTACTGGTTCCTGCCAAGGTTGACACCTGCCTGTACGTGGATCAGGCCTGGGCTGGGAGGGGTGCACTTTGAAGAGGCAAAGGTTTCCTGCCTCCTTCCTCTGAGTTGTCTGACCAGCCCTGGGCCCCTCTCAAATCCAGAAATTTCTCTTTAGTCCAAATAGTGGCTGGTTGCTCAGTTGGTTAGAGCATGGTGCTAATAACAGCGAAGTTGCAGGTCTGATCTGTCCTAGATTTTCCCTTTTCCATTACCACATCATGTAATTTGCAGTTTTATGTGCAATTACAGATGCTATACATTTATTGAAAAAAAATCCATGTATAAGTGGACCTGCACAGTTCAAACCTGCATTGTTCAAAGACTGACTGTACTTTGTGAATAAGACTCTTTTATGTATTTATTGTTTTGAAGCATACCCAGTGTTACAATTGGTCTTATTGATGTACTTAGAATTTTTGTTCTTTATTTTACTTTAAATATTTTCATCTCTATTTTCTTTTTAGCCACCTTTCCTTGAGGTTAGTGTCTTATATTTGAAGGATGTTGGCTTGATTAAATTCCTTGCTTATATAGGCAGTGCGTTTTTAGTGGTGAGTGGTTAGCTTTTTAGTGGTGTGATGGTTGGGGATTAAACTGGGACTTTTTAAGATTTCTAAATTACAACGCTAATTATTTTGAACTTTACTCTCTATCTGTACCAGAGGTACTGTGTAATTTGAATTTAGTCTCTGCTTCTGCATAACAATAGCATGACTAGTGATATCTGAAGTGGTAAGATATCACTGATGTTCACCTCACCATGCAGAAACTGAGTGATTCACTACTGAGTTTCTCACTGCCTTCTCCACCATCTTTTGTCATTCTGTGAGTTGCATATCTATTCTTTGGGTCTACCGATGTTATCCAAAGACATTTTTATTGGAAGACTTATGAATCTTATTTTCATATTTATTAAAATTGCATCATGTACTCTTATTTTTAGATATGAGGAACACAAGTACATATGTGATTATGTTTCTAAATGTTACTTAAGCAATTACATTTAAAGTTTAAATTTAATTTAAACTTTATTAAGATTACTTAATAAAACAGTTATATGTTGATAGATTGCATCATATCTGTATTATTTGATCAGCGTACTCCAGTTGAACACCAACAAGCAAAGAGTGTCTGAATTCTGTAGAAGAATGAATATATAGAGTAGGATTGTATCTCAAACCTAGAGGAGGCCATTATAGTGTCAAATATATGTAGAGTAATACTAAATATTACTATAGGATGGTGTATGATTAAGCTTCCAATGAAGAGAGACTATGTCACCAAATTAGAGTAGCAAACATTACATGAAAAGTGATTTAACATTCTAAAACTAATATAAAATACTGCATGTATTTTTACCTTTCCATCACTTGATAATATTAGAGTAGCAAACATTACATGAAAAGTGATTTAACATTCTAAAACTAATATAAAATACTGCATGTATTTTTACCTTTCCATCACTTGATAAAAGTAGACAGAATTGTATATTTGGAACAAATGGAAACAAGTTTAGAGAGTGTTTTCTTATTAATTCAGTGTACTTTCACTGAGCTATTCATTTTACAAATAGCACCCTAAAAAAAAAATTATGAAATTATGTGACACTGTAGGACCAGATCATGGTAAGAAATTTCAACATTTTTTTTAATGAATTGCATGGCAGTTGAAGAGATTTCATCTCATAAAATCAGGGAAAGAAATGACTTGCGAGCCTTAGTTTATTATTATTTTTGAAAACATAGACACTATATATAGAGTAGAAAGCAAAACTAAGGATGACATTGTTTGTATAGGACAGAAATGTGCTTTACGTCATTATTATTTGAATCGTCAATTCCACATGCAATGCATGTACAGTTACCTGCTGATATTATTGTGAGGAGAAACCTAAATATTACCTAGATATTAGTAAAGAAATCATCTCTGCTTGTCTTCCATTGGCACTTAAATGTCTCACTTCTCATGCTCACCCATTTTCACTGATGTTCACTGAGCTGATGTTCATCTGCCTTGGCATTAGGGCCCCTGACACACTGTCATCAGTGTAGGCACGTGTTGTGCGAATGTGGTTTGGGTTACAGGAGTCACCAAGTATATCCACATTGCAAAGATTTACCAAGTGGGTTCTTTAGTCAAAGATAATTAAATTGGCTGTATAGTTAGATAAGTTCATGTGAAAATACATTCAAAATAAAATTTTTAGCTGTAAATTGTTTGGGAATCAAATAACATTTATATTTATAAATCAAAACAAACATATATTCATCTGTTTGTATTTCTTTTTTTATCATTAAATATGATGGCTGTACTTACTATTTACAGAGATTAATCCAACAGCTCCTGCAGAAAAGACTTATTTTACAAATCAACCTGGGGACACCCATCAAAATGTGGTTGTTACTGAAGCAGGTAATTAGTTCACATGTCTTTAACTCCTCTATCAAGAGCAGAAACTGTAATTTTAAGTTCTGCTTCATGTTGATCCCAACTGTTCTTGTTGCCTGGTGGTGTGGTGAACTAAGTGTGGGCCTGTGGAAATTTGTCTTCAAACTAGGTTAGAACAAAAGACTAAGCTAGTTTTGGAATAGGAGATCTTATTTGAGTCTCTTCCAGTTTTTCACTTGAGATAGATGTGTCTAGGGCTAACCTAAGTAATCCACATTAAAAACTGGATCCACATGGGCCCTTCCCCAAGGTGTGCAGGCGTTAGAATGTAATTGGCACAATTGGGGGCCTGCAGATAGAGATGCTTGGGGAGATGTTAGGAATTGCTGGGGGAGGGCAGGTACAAAATAAAACCTGATTGGTACCCTTTGAAGATTCCCATGGTGTATATACTCCCATCTTGGCCGATTTTCAAGCAATCAAAGTGCCATCAGAGAACAGCAGATGGAAAGAATGCATACAGCGAGCTCTCCCTCAGATCCTCCAGCACTGCCTTCTGCAAAAGAAACAAGGAAATCCCAATACATGTTAGTCAGCAACTGCTTTTAGAATCAGTGAGGCGCTGGTTTTAGCGTAGCCCTGAAACAACTGAACAGAAATTATCCTGGTTGCTTTGTGAAGACTGAGCCAAAAACCCAGTCTTAAAATCTTTCCACAGGTGATCCAAAATCCATGAAAGAGTAGGAAATACTTTTTTTTTTCTTTACTATAATATATATAGGATCATGGTGGTAGTTTGAAAAGGAAAGGAAGTATTTCCTGAATCCTTAAAATGCTTGAAGTCACCTATTGGAGGCTCAAGAGTAGGCAAAGGCACAACAAATTATCCCCAAAATACCCTATTACTGGACCTCAGCTAGTATAGCTTCTTCTGCTAATACAGAAAGTGATGTGCAGTTTAATTGATAGTTTGATCTAAGTCTGGTCCAATTTGGCCAGTATTATTTAAATTAATAATAATGACAGCATTTTACTTGCTAGCTAAATGCATAGTTTCTAAGTTTGCTTTTCTTATGTGGACATGAAATTAAACCTTAGTGCTTTTTGGTTTTCAGTTGCCTGATTTTAAAACCATTTAGAACATAACCTAATTAAAGCTTTTAAGTAAATAATTACATTAGGACTATATGCCCTTTTATGACATTGGAAAAATGTTTAATAAAGTCATTTTAAGGTGTATGGGTCTTCAGGGCAGCAGTTTTCTATTTTACCAACAATATCTAACATTATCAACTGTGATGGGACAGGATTAAAAACTGATTCATTTTATAATTTCATTAAAATCATGTCTTTATGCTTGTGGAGTCTTGTGTCTCTGGGTTTTGACTGTATCATCAGTTAATATTTGTGTATTTTGGATTAATCCCAGAGAGTCTTGCATAATCATCATGGCACTGAGCTTAGTGGTTAGGATAATTACATACCCAATGAATTGGTTGTTTTGATGATTACTATTCTTGAATAAGCAGTTCTTGTTTCTCTGAACATTAACTGAGCAGGATTAATGAAGTGACATTGCTAAGATTATTAATATATTGTGAGACTAGCCCTAAATCTGAAATGTAGATTTAATAATACTTTTGCAAATGTGGACTTTGGATTGGAGGGTGCAACCAATGATGTATGGATTTGCTTTCAAATTTTACCAGACACGAATAGATTATGTCATTAGATTATTCAGTATTTTGGGAAGAACCTTGCATGGAATCTATTTATTGATAATAATTCTATTTTACCTTAAATTTTTGGAAAATTTGTATATAACTTTGGTGTTAGAATCCTGCCTCAACTGTCTGTTTATACTAAGACTGTTTTGCTTTTGTAGGCATAATTCCCAATCTAATTTACGTTGTTATACCAACGATCCCACTGCTCTTACTGATACTGGTTGCCTTTGGAACTTGCTGTTTTCAGATGCTTCATAAAAGGTAAATAATTCATATATGTAGAGACAACTTGAAAATTTTAAATAGGTTTTCAGAAATCTTTAAAAATATTAATAGAAAATTACATTTTTAATTTGCCCTAAAGAAGTTTGCCTCTCATCTGTCAGTACAAATCCAATATATATTAGTAAGATAGACCTTAATGATAGAATTCATGAATTATCTCATTTAATCCTCATAAGCCACGTGGAGTAGGTACCCTCCTATTTGTATTTTTCAGTTGAGAAGATGGTGGCTTGGATAGGTTATGTAATTTGCCTTGGTTCTCATCGTTTATGTGTGTGGTGGTCTGAAATTTGAATGCTTGTGGAGAATACAGCTAATGACTATAACATCTTTCTATGTTGACAGATAATAGCTATATTAGTGGGAGTGAGTATTTAATAATATGGGTAACTGTCAAACCACTGTGTCGTATACTTGAAACTACAATAAGACTGTATATCAATAAAAAATTTGAATACTTGTAAACTTAGAACATGTGCAATTATACTATACTGTCTTTTGTTTATTACATTTAAGAATTAATACTAAACCTTTCCATCTTGACCTCAAGTTGCAGGCAAGACTTGATTTTTATAGATGAACTTTGTAATAGCTTCTCAAAATTTCAAGTCATAGGCTTCTGCTTTATTTCAAAAGGATCTTTTGAGTATAGCAAAGTACACTATTAAAAATTGGTCACTTATTAAGTAGGAATATTGAAATAAAATGATAAGACTAACAGCAAGATTCTTGAAAGTATTGTTTCATGAAAACTTGTTTACCCATACCCTTGAGTTAGAGTCAGAATTTTTCCATGTGTGTCAATTTGTCAATTAAATTAAAAATTAATATATGAAATACAAATATGTTTCAAAGGAAAAAGGAAAAGGTCTTGGGTTTAACTAAGAGTATGTTTGCTATAATAAACTAGACATCTTTGTCAGTGTTTTAAATAAAAACCGATCAAGAGAATGCCTCTATCAAGGAAGGTCCCACAGTGAAGTCATTTTTCTCTTTTGAGTCTATTTCATCTTCATCTTTTCCTAAAATAAACCCTAAAGAATCCACTAAGTAAAAAATGCCCCAGAGAAAAAATATTAAATAAATGTAAACTCTAAATGGTTCACATAAACTTTAAAGGCTCCAACCTGTGATTTACTAGCTGTTTAAAACATTTTGAATAATGATAAATAAAGCGTGGCGAATTTATACTATACTTTGTGTCCTCTCGTCTTGCCAATATATATACAAAACACAGTTAAAATTGTTTTTCAATATTTTGTACAGAATAAAGTCAATAGTAAATATCTACTTTCTTCTCTTAACTCCTAAGATGGTAGATGGAAATGTGATTAATCATTGTGAAAAGCAGTGAAGTAGAGGAAGGATTTGATATAAATCCCCCCTTAACCCAGCCAAACTGTTGAGAGCTGTAGATGATATATCAGCTTGAAAAAATAATTTGAAAATTATTATGTAGACATTCTCATTTCTAAAATAAGAATTACTAATGCACCAGTAACTGAGTTTTCTCTAAACTTCATTTTCCTTCTCCAAATAGTATATTTTTGTAGAGATTGTATTCATTCCAAAATCTTCCAGATTTTTACACCTTGAAGATCTATGGAGTTTTCACTTGTTTGAAATTCTCAGAGTGAGAAATTAATGAAAATAGAGCGCCTCCAGATGCCGGAATTAGCTGTAGTGCTTGATTCATTCGTTCTTAGATCCTCCCCTTTTCCTTTCTTCCAGGAAAGCAAGGAGAAACTGCATCAAAGACTCAACTCCATTATCATCTGAGTGCCTTGCAGAAAATTTAAATTCCAATCTGGTACACATGCTGGTTTCTATCATTCCATGTCATGTTCAAAATAACAACTCTTGTTTCCTTAACTAGTAGTAACTCTTAAAATACTAATGCTACACAAAAACTACATTAATAACTTAACCACTTTTTGTTTCTTCTACTGTTTAAAAAAATTGTGTTTTTTGTACATTTCAAAAAAAGATGTATTTTCTGTTCACGTTAGGCGACCTCACAGATAAGGACGTGTTGATCTTACTTATTTGAATTCAAATATCCAAATAATATAATTTGGACATAATATTTTTATTGATGTCAAAGTCACAGCTAAATTGAAATCAAGTAATATTATACAATTGTGTTGCTCAGACTTGTTCAGGAAGAGTTCTTTTATTTCTTTGAAGTTGTTCTGCGATGTCTGGCAGATAGAGGGAAGGGGGCAGAAAGCTTGCCCATGGGGCTGGGGCAGCTGCTGCTGGGAGGAAAGAAGTGCAGAGCACAATATACAGGGGTGGGAAGTGGCTAGTGATCCAGGCTCATTCTCAGGAAGACAGCCTGAAAGGAATCCAGATCTTGGTAAGTGGTCTGGTAGAGGATGACTTGGGCACACACAGGAACAGGCACTTCTGCAGGAGCCTGAGAAGTGGCCATACCAGGGAGAGTTAGCAGAGAGCACAGCCAGGGCACAGGCCAGAAAGGCGGCTGAATTTTACATCTGGCAGGAGTGAAGTTCAATCTCAGATCTAGAGGAACTCAGATACTCCTAAATTATCAAGGCCTTAATCTGCTTTGAACTACATTGGTTTCAGAGACTGAAGCAGGGATTCAGTGACTTAACCATAGGACAGGAAGACTGAGGGAGGCTGAGGACAAAAGCACTGTTTTGATGATTTGGCATCAAAGACAGCATATTTGAATATAAAAACTTCCCAAAACCAAAATTTCAAAAATCACGGATCAAATAAAATGAAGATTTATTGGTGATTACAATTAATTTTTTTGATTTTGTGTCAGATACCTTTGTGTGTGTGTGGGAGTCTGAATTCTAAACTATGAAGGGCCAAACAGAGAAAGATCTTTTTTTTTTCCATTATTAGTTCACATGAACTGTTTGCTATCTTCACATACTGGAATAATACCGAATTTTTTTATAGGAATGCAAAAATATCCTGGTGAGAGAAGAAGGACTATCTTATTGTAAGGTCTGAGATAGCCCCCTTTGGACCAAGACATACCTATTTTGCTAAGAAGTCTCAGACACTGAGTTTACTCTTCTGTTTTTCAGTAAAGGAAGAACAAAAACTAGCCCAAACCAGTCCACATTGTGGATTTCAAAAAGCACCAGAAAAGAGAGTGGCATGGAAGTATAATGATTCATTGACTTGGCTCCAGAAAAGAAATCGAGTTTCATATTCGGGATCTGCGTAAGGAATGGCACCAGAGCATTCGCTTGGAATGGCTTGAAATCTCAAAGGATCTGCAAGGTGAACTGTAAGCTCCCCCTTGAGGCAAATATTAAAATAATTTTTATATGTTTATTATTTCATTCACAAAACATGCTGTGCTAATAATGGAGTGAGACATGCTTATTTTGCTAAAGGATGCGCCCAGACTTCAAGTAAATGGAATGGGCCCCGCAGATGACATTACAGTCCACACACCAGAGAAGCGTGTGTGTTGAAGCAGTTATTTCTGTTTCTTTCACCTCTCACGAGTTGTAATCTAGCTAATGTAATGTAAATGGCTTTGACATTTACAGTGTGCAAACATATTTTACCTTTACATAAGTGTTTGATAACAATGGACTGTTCTAATATTTATTTTTATGGGGTTTCATTTTTTAATACATGCTGTTTTGATTAAAGAAATGTATTACTATTTTCACCTGAATTCATAACATAAATGTAGTACCATAGAAAAGTTTCTTTTCTAGAAATGGTTCATTTTTCAGTTTCCCTGCTTTCAGACAATGTTTAGGCAATCTCTACAGAAATAAGAAGCTATTTCAATAACTGTGGTATAAATCTACTCAAATATTTTACTTAGAGGCAAGAATTGTCTAATTTCAATTGTGCAAGACATGTGCCTTATAATTATTTTTAGTTTTAAATTCAACAGATTTTGTAATAACTTTGTTAATAGCTGTATAAACAATAATACACTCCATCTAGAACAAAAATAGTGGTAAAGACAGTATAAATCCTATGTCTTCACATGTTGCCTATATAACCACCAGTTGCTCTTTGAGGGTTTTGGAATCAGCTTGCTCCCTTCCTTGTCCACAAAACGAAGATGGTTGTTTGGGGTCTGGGATTAACACTGGAAGCAGGTAGCTGTGGGGTTTGCTTAAGGTTTTTCCTAGCTCTGTTTAGCCTCTATTAGCAGCATATAAAGGAGTCCTGGAGTTGGGACCAGGAGAGTGGTCACTACCGGTGTGGAGGTAAGCACAGCACACTCACAGTTCAGAATGGAAAGAAACTAAGAATCAGTGTGGAAATGAGCTGCCTGGCGTCCGTGATCACATGTTGGTGTTGAGAGTTTGGCTGAGGGGTAAACTGGGTCTCCTCTTGCCTTCTAGTTTCTTCAGTGCTTGTGGCTCTTTCTTAAGAAAGTTGTAACTATCTGGTCTTCAAATGTCCCTGTGCTCCTTTTAACCAAATAAAAAGTTCTTGTTTCTGAAGAATGGTCATGGGCATTGTGTAAATCTCTTAAGTGTACAAAATACAGTTATGTTTACATCAGTGTATGCAGATGAAAACAAATTACTGTTTATGTGTGGGAGGAATGGAAGTTGTGATTATATAGCATTTAAACCTCATCTTTTTTCCCTGTCTATCCTTTTAAGTTAGATAATAAACAGCTTTCATGAAGGCGATTCACAACTAGAGGTGGTTGGCACAACTAAGAGGCAAATCAGACTTAGTGGGCACTGGCCCCTCCGCAGCTGCTTGCAGATGGGGGCATGGGCAGCTGTGTTCTAAGCTTAGATCTGCCCACAGTTAGCCCTCCACTTTCTTTTCTTGGCTACTGCTCTTTCTGGGCAGAATGAGAGACCAGCTGCCGGGATCTGCCTCTTCACTACAAGCTCCCACCATGTGTTTCTTCTTTAGTCAGGACTGGATGGAGGGGAGACTGTGCTTTCCCTGTTTCTGTGCCACCCATGACTCCCACAGCTACAAGGCTGGAGAGGCAAAGCGCTGGGAAGGACTTTGGTTTCGCCTTTTATCTCGATGCAGGCCTGGATAACTCTTGGGGTATCAGTTACTGAACCTGTAGGTACAGGAGTGGGATGGTCAACTTCCCTCTTCTTTGAGAATGGCAGTGAGATGGCCCTAAGGGTTATGTGTGTGTGTGTGTTTGCAGAAGGTATGAATTTTGTGTTTCTAAATAAATCAATAGATTTTGTGTAGTAGGCTAATTTGAACTTTGTTCTTACTCTGGAAATGATCCAAGAGATTAAAGCAGTGAAGCCAATCCATTTATTCCACATTTTTGGCCTTCGAATGGGCAATCCAGCTGCTTCTAAGGAAGTTTTGCACATGTTGAAACATCGACTATAACACACACAAATCAGAAAAAAAACCATTTGTAATGGTTGCAGTTCTTTAATATGTCTTATTACTTTTTCAAAACTTGAAAAATGCTAGCTTGGGAAAAATGGACAAACAGTATGAATAACCCAGTTAAAAAAGTGATCCAATAAAAGAATGACAATTTTGGTTAATTACCTTTTATTTTGATGCAAGGGTGATATATAGACTTGTACTTAGTTGCTGTTTAATTAATTTATTTGAGAGGACTGTGCAGTCAGTTTGGTCCAGGTCTGTGACAGGAGCTTACAGTACATCTCTTTTATGAATGGGGACAATATTAAGGACATGTTCCAGATGAATCAGAAGTGCATTTGGAGGGAAAAGCAGGAAGACGGCTGAGATTCTAACAACAGCATCTCAGATGGAACCAGATAATTTGCAGTAGTTTTTTTCAAAGAATAACATACTTGGCACAGAGCAATTTCACTTCTTTTACTAATTTTGCTAAAACTTTATTAAGTATATAGTATATGCTTTAAAGTTACATTCCTTTAAAAAAGAGAATATGATAAAAATACTCATTAAGAAAGAAATGATACTTGTGAAAGAGTAACTGTTCACAATAAAATCAAAATGTATTAAAGTTAATTTGTATTGTAAAGATACATATTTTTTGTTCTTTTTACCCCCAGCATTTCAGTGGCTTAGATAAGAATAAGGCTTTTAGAAACTTTTTTTTTTTTTTTTTTAACAGAACTCTCTATTTCCTTGCTTCTTAGAGTAGAATGGGGAAAACTGCCTGATTTTCATGTTTGGAACACTCTTATGTAGAAAACTTTGTATCCATTCCGTGAACCTCAGGACCCAGGCATACACCCCCGGACGGTTAGGCTGTGCACACTGGTGCCCATATGATGTCACTCCAGCCAGGAACCACCTGTTGTTTTCCTGGCACATTAATGGTCCTCCTGAATCCCCCTAAAGAGTAAATTGCAAAAACAAATTGAGATGTGTGGTCAGTTGATATAAATATGTAAAATTGTTTTTAGCAAATAAATTAAAAAATAAAAAAGTATGGTTTAATTGAAAATCATCTGTATATATTCATACCATCACTCTAGGTCAAGAATTAGAACCTTTTGCTGTTCAGTAAGGACACAGAGAAACTATGACAACTAAAATTAATTTACGTGTAGTTTTTTATGATGCACTTTTATAGCAAGAATTTCCTAACATTAATTAGGACATTTTATGGGTACTAAGAAATTCTTTAAGGCACAACTGTTGAGTAGCATCTTAACCAAAATATATATTAAAAGATGCATTTTAAGTATTATGAAAGTCTTTGTGGGAGACAGTCATTCCATATTATGCACTTTAGAAAAACTAAAAACTCACACACAAAGTTATTTTAGTTCAGTTGGGTAGCATTAACTTTTTGGCATTAGACAATCAGATTTGAAAAAATAATTCAACTGAAATAGGTACATCTATGATATGATTTCTAGTGATAGGCATATGTTTTGAGATATTAATTGATGAAAAAATGTTTTTAACTTTTAAAAAATTGTAACAGTTCCTAGTATAATTACATAAATTTTATTTGTACATTATTTATTCATATGTAATACAAATGAACATAATGCAAACATGTAGTACCATTATTAATAACAGAATTGAGAGATATTTTCTCACATTAATTGTGAAAAATTTTTAAATTAATTTTTTATATTTGTGAATGAATTTAAAACGTTGTGTACTTTGGATGAAATCACCAGTGTAATAATGGACCTGCTGGGCATTATGCTAAGTGAAATAAGTGAGACAGAAAGGCAAATACCATATGATTTCACTTAGATGTGGAATATATAACAAATGAACAAGCAGAACAAAACAGAGTCTCATATATATAGAGACCAAACTGTTAATTACCAGAGTGGGGAAGAGTTGGAGCATGGGTGAAATCGGTGAAGGGGATAAAGCAGTACAAACTTTGAGTTATAAAATAAAGTGATGGGGGTGATAAGTATAGCATAGGGAACATAGTCAATATTACAATAACTAATACATATCAAATAATATTTAATAACAACAATATTTAATAACTGTATAGTGACAGATGGTAACTAGACTTATTGTAGGAATTATTTTTTAATGTATAAAAATATTCAATCACTTTGATATGCTCTGCAAACTCATAGGATAGTGTATATCAATTATACTCAAAAAAATAAAGAAAAGGCAGGAAGGAAGAAAAGAAAAAAGAAAAAAAGCAGGAAGGGAGGGAGAGAGGAAGGGAGAGGAAGAAAGGGAGGGAGGAAGGGAGGGAAGGAGAAATAAATAAATCAGTCACTGGTACAATAGAATATTTCAAACCAAGTTTGTGTTAAAAAATACCCTGAGAGACTTTTTGCTGATTCTTTATTATCTTTGGGACCTATATTTAAAGGGAAAAAAATGTGATCTATAAAAGCACCTTTTCTCTTTTGAATACCACAGTTTACCTCTATTATAGATGTAACAAATTTGTCCAGACTGTTTGAAAGTGGGACTGTGATTTTTACTTCTTTGTCCTAAGCCCTTAGTCCATATTATGTGTTCAGAAATATTTGTGGGACAGTATCAATCCAAGTTGAAAATAGATACAGTCTCAAATGTATAAGTGATTTAGAAATTATTAGAAATAAACCTCAGCTGTTTGGATGTTTTTAGAAGGAGTCATTTTGTTTTCTTCACATTGTCTAAAATAATTTGAAATTTTCAATAGACAATAGACTCCAGGCTTTGATTACATGAACAAAGCTTTTTAACTACTCAGTACATATTGTGTCAGTTACAGTATTTCAAAGAACACACCAGCAAGCTTGAAGCCCAGCAGCTGGGAGGTCTGTGTGCATGGGAGACCTCCGTCTGGTTCCGTCACTTATCATCTAACCACACCATTTCAGTTCATGCAACTTCTCCTTGTCTTAATTTTCTGATCTGTTCAATAAATGTATTGCCTTCTTCCATGATCTCAGAGGTGGGTAAATACTTCAAAAATAAGATCAAGTGTCCAAACCATTACATGAAAATATGTGTCTATTTAGATACCATATTTGTAAAGAAAAAATTCACTACCTTGAGTATCTGAATATAAAGGTTAATAACCATAGAGTAGTGGTTCTGAAACCTTAGTATGCCCCAGAATCATGGGAGTCATGCTGAAACAGTGCTGGGCCCCATCTTCAGAGTTTCTGATTCAGCGGGTCTGTGATAGGGCCTAAAAATTTGCATCTATAAGAAGTCTCAGGCATGCTGATCTGCTGGATTGGAGGCCACGCTTTGGAAACCACTGGTATAGTGTAAGTTTGTGAGTGTTAGCACAGTGGGTTTGCTCTTTGTATCATTCACTTCGTTTTATAGAGAGAGGACTTTCTATAGCCACTCATGGAGCCTTAAAAAATCCAGACAACTGCCTCCTGACACAAGCCTTTGGTAAGCCAGAAGATCCTCAAGACCACGTGAATGACTAATAAGGTGAGTTCTTAGCCACTATTGGAAACACTGATGCTTCGAGGAACTTATTCAGGTGCTGTATCAATAATTACAGATTCATAATTTTAAGTAATGTATTCTTATTTAATCAGTTAATCCTCTTAAATATCATGGTATTAAAGTTGAACAAAGAAAATCATGTGACTCCTTAGACTATTGATTACTCAATCATGATAACAATATATCACAAGATATTGCCCTGCATGGGAGCTTTCTTACTTGCTAACGAATAACATACTTAGACTCTCTAGAAATTAGAGGCAAAATAGAAGATTTCAGACATCTGGCATGAGTTACTGGCTTAATGTATCCCTACCATCAATAGTATCAGCAGTCATATTTCCTACCTAGTGTATGAAGCATCTGCCACACACTCCCATTAACTGTAATTGAAGTTGTACAGTTGATTTCCCTCCTGAACAATAATTCTATAAATCTCCCTCTAAGTGGCAATATATCTTACCTTTAATACACGTTTCATCTTAAAAGGAAAGTGTAAGATCTACAGATAAATTTTAAACAAGAAGAAAGCTATCCTATTTGTTTTGAATTGTAAAGTGTTCATCAAAGCAGAATAAATGTAAAACTAAGCAGAAAGTTTAACATGACTTGAGACATTGACTTAAAAAGAGGGTACATACACAGATACATTTGCTTAAGTGTCAAAAAAGTCTTGTATCAAGTCAAATTATTATGACATGTGTTAATATATAAAACAAGTTGTTTACACTTTTACAAAGTGAAACCATTTTCCCATGGTATAAATTACTACATGTGCATTTTTAAATTATTCACATGTTGTTCAGTACAGCTAGTAGGTTTAATCTAATCCAATAGATATTAATGCATTAATAGTTTATTAATTTTCAAGTATAGAAAACATGCTAGAAATTTTTTTACAAAGTCTTATAATAAAATTGTTAATATGGTTGAGTGCTTACTTAAATTTCTTTGTTATCTCATTAAGCCTCTCAATGAAACCTAAAGTTACTTGCCTGAAGTCTGAGCAGTAAGTGTTAAACCAGGGTCAGATAAAAGTAATCCGAGCACAGAATCCATGCTCATCATGACTATTCAATCCTACAATTAAAAATAATAATTCTAATCTAGCAGAATTTGCTTTCTATTTGCTGAGTGTATGTGATTTTCATGGAGCTGATAGATGGCTACATTATGTCTGGAGTAAGAAGTTTTTGTCTTCCATGAGTGTAGTTTGTGGGTAGTAGTTTTCTCTGATGGTCACCCAGGTCAAAAGCTGCTGATCCTACAAATATATTGCAGTATTGACACTCAGTGAGTTCAAATTATTACATCTCTAAAATGAAGAATAAAAGATAATATGAAAATTCTAGTATAGGTGCTCCCAATTGAGGATTATTTCAGGCTGTTGAGCAAGTTCTTTCTTTACCTTCCTGGCAAGTGATTGTCTGTAAAGTGGCTCTAAGCCAACCTATCCAGGTTGGTTTTCATCCAGAAATTATTTCACATCATTCCACACCTGCACCATTCTCAAAATCAGAGTTGATGATTGGATGCCAGTAGACCAAACTGGCTCTCAGACCTGCTTTTGTTTTAAATTTTATAAAGCTTTTAAAGAATGGAAAGTTGAAAATGATGCTTTTAGCTAAGTTGTGCACTCTCCAGGTCAACAACAGGCAGGCTGCTGCGTATTTTGCTCAGCTGTTTCACACATTCATATTTTATGCCTACATAAAACATCTGATTTGTAACCCTTGTTCTTAAAAATTAGCTTTGTTTCTAATGCTAATATTCACCCAGGAATACTATGCAAACAGGCCACAGATAAACATGAAAACTCAGTTTTGTAAAAGAAGAAATGAAGTTGAGATTTCTTTACTCCCAAATCATTGTGAAACAATGAAATCTTTATATAGTAATTCTTTCTGGAAATATAGGGTGAGAAGTTTTACGTATTTACCTGACAAGAATCGATTCCACCTTCTTCGTAGCCTGCACATATCATATTTTCTGTGATGTTGTATTCTGGCATCTGTTGTTGACATTTTTCATTTGCCAGGAGAGGAACATCAGCTTCTTGCAATACATTTGCAGTAGGACCTGTTCAAAATGGATAATGCAGACAGCCAGTCAGAAGTGATCAACATGCATCATTGAATGAGCCACCATCAGTCTTATTTATTTCAACAATTCACTCTCATTATTGAGTACTGTGTGTATATATAATGGAACTAAATGCTAAATCTTGTACTTTAAAGTACATAATATGGCCCATCTGTGGATTTTGCCAAGTGGATAACAGTAAAGCATTTCTTTAGTTCCCAAGGGCTAGCAAGAATGGTGGATTGGACTAGACAGTCTTTAGGCATTTTCAATAATTTTAAATAGTTACAGTATTGCTCATAAAAAAAATATCACCACAAATGGATTCATTCATGGAAATGAGCAATGGCTCAGAAATCCTCTTTCATTTGGCACCTGAAGAGGTGCTCGCTTATAATGGCATTCAGCCACTTTGAGATGTGTATGAGTGAGCAGGTGTGCACTGAACAGAAGACAAAGCTCAGATGAGCTGTGCCCCGGTCTAAGGGCAATCAGCCTGTCATCACGTGCAGGTGAAGAGAAAGGAGGCTTTTTGTAGCAGAGTATACTTCCTTGCTTTTAGCAAAATGACTCATTTACTGGAAGCATGAAACCTCTATTTACTGAAATACTAATCCCAGAGGGATGTGAAACAAGCAGGTGTCTAGTGCCTTGGAAAAGGTACACGATAAACACTTTCTAATAGCAATTTTATTTGGTTCCTTAAGAGAGACAGAAACTTGAGGATAATTTAGTACATATGAAAGTCAGCATTGTTGCAAGATAATGTATGTGACCTCATTTCCAGCTAAGTTTGATTCATACACTAAAAAGACAGGAAATGTGTGTGTGTGTATAAAACGTAAGTGCAAAACAACATCTGAATGACTCAGTGGTGTGTTGGTAAATGTTTAGTAACTGGTTTACAGGGGAAAAATAACCCTAATGTATATCTTCTACCAATTGCCTGGTACAAAGATTCAAGCCATGGCCAATTTCAAGGTACCAGCATGACAATGAATGTGGAGTTGGGAAGAGATATGCTTGAATGGCTATTTCTAGTTAGAGCCAGTGACTTCAGCAGCCTATTAGTTTTAAATTTGACAATGGACTTTACGTTAAAGTAAATTGTGGAGGTTAAGATGTAGGAGAAAATTCAGCATCTCACTGTCATCTGTTCTAGGATGGGCTGATAGACTTTAGTCTTTATTATGAACTATTATAAATCAAAACCAATTTTGCTTCTTGTCCAGGAATAAAAAATTAGTTGGGTATATGACAGAACTGGTAAATGTAAATTTGAGCAATGTTCTTATATTTAATATGTATTTGTCAACATGAGATGGCTGTGAAGATAATTGAGAATACACACACCACATAAAAACATATACAAAAATGTCAGAAGAGTTATTTTAAGTTTTATTCATTGCGCTAATTTAACTAATACCACTTCATGAATTCTTCCCAATAAATAGTATGTTCACGGTTTCCATAGCTAAGTAATTAGTGCAATAGACTCAAAAAGGGGGGAAACTGAGATTTTATGAAATTAAGTAGGTGGAAATCATAAGGCAAAGTTAATAAAACTCATTAAAATTGCTATCACCCAGGAAGTATTTAAACATGACCTGGCCATTTGTTTGTAAGTGAAATTGATCTCAGATACAGAGTTTCTCTTGGCTCCAAACTACTCTTAGAGACTTTTCTTAAGTCAATTAAATGCATATCTTTAGTAACAATAAGTAAATGTAAGCCGAGTATACTCAGCTCTTAAAAAAATCCATTTCCTGTGGAATAAAGAGTCTTAAATTTTGTTAGTGGATAATTTGTTTTTAAGAGTCTACATCGTGCTCATAAATTGAAGTCTGATACAGAAAATATCTATCTAGGAATCATTTTAACTTTTTAGATCCAAATTTAATAAATCATGACATTTTTCAAGTGGAAAAAAAGAGAATGTACAGTCTTTGACTTCAATACACTTTATGGACAGCAGACATGAGGCATTTTTCAGCAACATAACATAATTGCAGTGGAGAACCTTTATCGGAATCATCAGTCAAAGACTTGACTTGGAAAATTAAGCTTCCTTTTATAAGAAGAAAGAATGTTTTAACTGTGAATGCTTTGCTTCTGGGACCTGTACTTCTCCACTAAATTTTGTGCCTTTTTAATCTTATTTGGATTTTTAAATATCATGGCTATGATCTGTTGCAACTCCAGAGGCTAGGTTCTCCTACCAGAATATAGTACCCTTCCTTTTTGTTTAATTATTAATGAGTGATCAAAACTGTCCTTCATGAAGCCAATGAGTTACATTTAGAAGGTATGAAGTACTGGAGAACTTTTTATTTTTTAATCATGTTTGGTTAGTTTTAATATGCATTTTCTTCTGTGCTGGGAAAACATGCTACTAAATAATACTAATGAGTCAATGGTATATCAACTGTTAGTTTTCAATGTAAGGTTTGTGCCCTAAGTTATCAGTAGGCAGAATATGTTGATGTTGAAAGGTATTCCCTTCTCATTTTAGGAAATATGAGTGTGACCTTCACATGATAAATATAGTTTTTAGGTTCGGGAAATATAACAGGTAATATTTTGTTTTTTTGATGAGACTTATATAACAATAAAATTAGATAATTGAGTTTGGGAGATGGTTTACTTCCTCTCCAATAAGGATTGTAGTTTTATAGTATGCTCTACACAATCTGGAAGTTTTTTATTTAAGACAATGCAAATATACATGATTAGAATATAAGCCTGACAGTTTTTTTAAGTGATATTGCAAAAACTCATTATAGTATAAGAGTTGTAAGAATTTTTGAAAATATTCACAGGATAGTGCAATAGCATACTTTTTTACTAATACACATTTTATTTTTCCCAAGTCTGATAATTTACCTTGATATACCACTCTCCCCCAGCCAGCAATAGAACAAATTCTTCCTGGAGGAAAAACTTGACTTTTGTCTGGTAAACAAATAGGTTGTATATAATCTGGAAAAACAAACAAAAGAACAGACATATAGGTGTTTCTAACAAGTTTTAAAAGTCAATTACTTTCAATATTTCACCTAAAAAAAACTTCTATTTTTGTTTTATCCTGCCTGAACATTTTTTTAGACATCAACCATGGGAGAAAGAAGAAATTCAGAGCAGCAGTTTTTGATAATGGACTTGTTACCACTTATGGTCTTTCAGGTTTTATAATGTAAACAATGTTTTAAGTCTGGGGTTAATCATTTATAGTTGATTTTTAAATAATCCTGGTACTTAATAATAATGTCAGTTCTGTGAAAATATTGGTAGGGTTATTTTTCAGGGTCAATTAAGAGAAACTTGGGCACAAATTCTGAGGTTTTTTTAGTTTCCCATGGCTATCTCCACATTAAAAAAGCTTCTAGGTGATTGTTTTATAGAACACTTACAGAAGCATTAGCATTGGTCACTGGCTTTTAAAATCCTCCTCCAGCAATTTATACACCACCTGATCTTTATTAAGCACCCACCACATGTTCTATGACCCAGGACAGATGCAGAAATGAATAAGGTGTGGTGCTTACATCAAGGACCGGGCCACATAATTAACCACAATAGTCTGCCTTTGCTAAGTGCTATGATACATGTGTAGACCAAATTCCACAATAGCACAGACATAGCAGCACTTTCTCCTGACTGGGAATTGGAAAAGTCTTCACAAGTTCATCAGAGCCTCTCAGGATAAATTTCACCTCCTCAGGTGACTTATTACCCATTATCTCAGTATTTGGTGAGAGTCCTCCACCTGCCACTCTATTAATATTATTGAATCTCCTTTAAAACCTCATTCAATGAACAGCTTAATTCCTACTCACTTTTCTCTTAGAATGTGTGCCTTCTATCAGTGTGTACTACTCTGCCCTTTGTGGTAGATGGACCTGCCTTTGTTTTACATAAGGAATAGGGAGGCATGCATTGTAATATGACTGATTTTCTCTGGGCTGTTGCTTTAGTTTACTGTTATAGAGGACTCTGAGAATTTTATTCTACTGGCCAACTCACTAGAAAGTTGGATTTAAACACTTTCACGAAGGTAATTTAATGTTTATCCAACTCTTACAAGCTATTTATGCATTGGTACAGATATTTCAAACCCAATTTTGAATTAATTAGGGCAGATAAGAAAACTAAAAATGATTTCTTTTACCTGTGTAATTCACTTTATATTCAAGGTGCATAATGGCCACATCACTGTCCTTTCTCCGTTTGTCATAATGTGGGTTTATGACAATTTGATCTATCAACCGAGTCACTATTTGAGGGGAAGTCAGATTCGATGTCATATGCAGGCCTAACACTGCTTTCCATGTAGACGTCCCTAAATTTCTCCTAAAGATTATGAAAAAGAAGTGTAAGATTAAACTCTCCATCCACTGCAGTTACTTTCTGGGAATCTTTGTAGTATTTTAGAACTAGGTGTTCCCATCCTAATAAATTCTTGAATTTCTCTGAAGGATTTTCCTGTAAAAAGAGTTCTTTAATTTTCATTTTTTTTTCTGATCAGATCGCAGAATAAGCCTTAATTAGTGCTCATCTTTCTCACATCTCTGAAGTCATTTCTTGATCTCTAGGTCTAGACTGTGGTTCTCAACTTTGGTTTCACATTAGAATCACCAGGAGTACATTTAAATAACACTGTTACCTGCTCCTCCTTTCCTATACTTGACTTAATGAGTCTGGCATAGAGGGGGGAATTAAAAAATATATATTTTTAAAACTAAATCTCCAAGTTCATGCCAATACATGGCCAGATTTGAGCAGCACTGATTAGGTCATGTTCTGCTGTGGAGACTGCGTCTTGTTCCCAGGTCTCCTCAGACAACTGCAGCAGCTGTAGGCACAAGGGTGCCGGAGTAGGTAGATAGCGAGACACGGGTAGGCGGAGGGAGGGGGTCTGCAGCCAGGTGGAAGCTGGCTTCCATTCTGTGCACTCTGTGTGAGCTATTTCCACAGCCTGTCGCGGGGAGAATATAGATAACAGACTGGCTAAAACTGGCTAGTTACAACATGGAGAAGATGACCTTCACTCCCAAATCCATTACCAGAGTAAAACTCACACCCCTCCATCATTAGCATAGTAAAAATCACACCTCCCCATGCCACAACTGTTCTGATGGGTACCAAATATAGTAAAAAATCCCTCCACCTGATACCTGACGAGAGTGGAGCAGGCCCGAACTCAGAAAACTCCATCTGTTCCTTCAAACCTAGCCCCATTTGGTGAACATTCATCCCCTTTTATATAAAAAAGGCCCCCTATTGTCTCCTAGGCAGGACTCCCTCCAGGTCTGCCCACACCAACTCTCTGGCATGTACTTTTGTCTTTCTCTAAAATCTCATTTTCCAAAAATCTTTAATGATGTTTTTTTAGCACCTGTTCTTGAATTATTTCTTGAAATAAGACCAAGGACCCATCTCCAGTAATAATGGAAGGAGGTTTAGGAGCATTCTATTAGAGGGTCACTGAATTCACACAGTTAAGATAAGCAATAAAACCTATTATGATGTTTATAATCTAACATGAATTTGAGTATTTCCATATACAATGAACTTGATTAATGTACTTCCGCATACAATGTTGGTAACAATATTGGATAAACATTGGTGTTCCAGGCAGATTAAATTGGATTTGAAAGTATAGAGGGACTTCTAAATGTATTTGCCTCCAACATCTTCAGGCCAAGAAATTACCAGGGAACAGCTGGAATTAAGCCAATTAAGCCATATTCACAATGAAGTCAAAATCCAATAACTGCAGTTATAACAGAGCTAATGATTTAATTCTTAATAGTCACAAATGCCTAGTTTAATGTGGGATTTCAAATGTTAAAATCCAAGTCATCTACAAATGTATAAAGGGCATGAGGTTTTTTTCAAGTCCATCTGTCTATCTTTTTATCTATCTATTCATTACTTTGTTATTTTTCCCAGATGATCATGTTTGATCAAGTAGTAGTCATCAGTAAAATCAGTGAGTGCCCCAGCATACAGTACAAATCCACTGATAACCACCCCATGTTAAAAATCTGTGGAAACTTAAGTACTTCATAGAAATATCATAACCCCCATTTATGAAGGATCTATTTTGTGCCAAGTACTCTGACCACGTCATCTCATTGCATCCCTACCACAGTGCCATGGATTCTACAATTAGAATGTGCTGGGAGTTTAAATGGTAGGAGAGACGCTTGAACTGGGACAGTCTGACTTGAGAGGTTGCATATGCACCAGGTATGGGGGTGTCTCATGTAGCTATGGGCAAGGTTCTGTGGGAGCGGCAAGAATATGAGGAAAGTGTTAGAGGGGCAGGAGGGAGAGACACGGCCTGCCATTGCATCATCTGGGCTCAGGGAGGATGTCTCTCCTGGGGTTGGTGCCAGCTAATTGAATCTCCAGATGCTGGCCAGGAGGGCATTAGGTGCTCCAGAGGCCTTTTCACTTCCCTTCCCCAGGTCCTAGGAATCAGAACTTCAGCCAAGCTGGACATACTGGTAATTTCAGACATTCTGACCGCACCTCACTCCTACTGTGTCCTGGGGCTCCCCTGTCCACCTAGGCCTACGAGGATCGGGGACAGAGTAAAATCTCTTCCTTGGTGTCCTCTATCTGAACTTCTTTCTCTGTCAAATATTTAAGTATGTTTTCTAAAGCTTAGCTGGTCATGGTTGTCACTTGATTATCATGCCAGTTATGAGTGACATGTAACAGGTAGTTATAATCTTTAATGAATTGTACGTCTCACATTAAATTTATGTATTTATTAACTATTTATAAAAAATAAATCTTATAATTGCCATACCATGTTTCCTACTTTACATTTAATTATATTTATCTATACATAATTACAGTTTGTATTGTAAGTATATTATTTATATAACCAATGAATTATATCAATATTTATATATTTGCATTATTATAAGTTACTTATATAAATAACATTATTATATTAATAGCATGACATTTAAATAATACCTATTAAAATTTTCTCAATGTGAATTTAGAGATACTACTATGAAGTTAATAAAGTGCAAAACAATAGGATTGTCTCTTTAAATATCTCTTACATATTTTATCTTTAGAAAAAAATCACATACAAGTTCAGAGAGATATGTGTATTTGCTATAGATTTAATCAAGGATAAAATATGCAATAACTATATCTCCAAATTCTTATCTTTTCTGTAAGTGCTGTATCCCATCTGAGACTATAAATATATAAATATAATTACTGATATGAGAGAGCTTGTAGGTAGCACAAAGTTGAGTAATCACCATTCTCCTCTCATTATTATAAGAGTCTGAGTTAAAAATGAATACATGAACTATGAACTGTGAAGATTAAAAATTAAACATACATGCTTCAAGCTACTGCTCTAATTAAATACAATTTAAGCAATGTTAATCTGACACATTCTTAATGATTTCTATAATCACTATTGTGCTATATGTAAAATACTCTATTTTTCATGTTTTTATTTCTCCTGAATCTACAAGCAGTAGTATGGGAAGGAAATATCCCTCCAACATGTATTATTTGCATTTCTCTCTAAGTCCTGTTCCATAAACCTTTCCGTGTCTTTGTACTTAACGCTTCCACCACAAGCACAACACCGACATGAACACCACTATACCACTATATCCTACTGTAATTTTAGTACCTTCTCTTGGAGGAAGAAGACTTACAGTCTTCTGGTTATAATGGTTCTCAAATTATATGAATCAGCTGAAGAATTTGCTAAACTTTCAGTTTTCCAGTTTTCACTCCAGAAATTCTAGTTTGGATGTTTGGAGTGGGACCCAAGAATCTGTACTTCATAATCTCAACTGAGATATTCAATAATACAGAAACCTCCCTAGCTTTCCCATTTACCCAAAGTTGAGATGGGAGAAGAAAGCCTTCAGAGAAACCATTGCAGATAAAGAGAAGGGACTTCTTATGTTTAAAAAATTTCTTGTCTGAAAGCATCTACGTTCTCGTGAAGTTATAGGACAGAAGACAGTTGGGAATGGGAAAAGGATATAACTTCATTGGATAGGCAAGTCCCTACCCAGCAGAGGCAAAGAGAACGGAAACATGGCACCTTTATGTAGAAGTTGGCCGAATTCCTGCTGCATTTCACTGTTGCCTGCCCTGTCTAAATGAAATGTTTTTCTCAGTAGAAAGGGAAAGAAAGGCACAGGTTGGGAGCAAACAGACATACACTGTTGACTTCTGTAACCTCGATGACTAGTACACTTAGAACACAGGTACTCAATAGATGCTGCACTGGATGGGGTGAACTAATGCTATGATGTCACTATGTTTCCATGTGCTGGTGTAAGCAGCTCACTGCTCAGAGCATTGGGGTGTCCATTTGTACGCGGGATTTTCATTGTGGTAGGAAGTAAATATGGCAAGATAATTATGATAGAGCAACACAATTTGCTAAAAGAAAAAAAATCAGTGGGGATCATAATTGTAAGTTGAAATATTTTTTTCTCTTCTACCAGTACCAAAGGTAGCATTTTAGTCAAGTTTGCCCTTACCAACTCCAATGTTTGCCCCTATTACTTATCTTACTTCTGCTCTCTATTATTGTTTTCCACTGCATGGAGAAAGGATTCCTAGGAAGGTGACCAGTTTCAACTGTTAAGACAAGTAAAAATTAGAATGCCTTTGAATATGGTGTAGTAGTCAGAGAGTAAGAAAGTTTTCAAGAATATGAGGAGTGATTTTAAAAGAACAAACGAGCCAGATTAAATGGGATAATACAGTCCAGTCTTAACAATTTAAGCATCATATAATAATCATAATCATTATCCTAGTTAATAAAATAAATTATTAATGATGTGCCATGAGCCCATAATGAAACTCAAATGAGAAAAAACAAAGTATCTAAAAGGTAGTTGTATTGTCAAAGGACAGTGAACAGCAGGGATATGTTCAACAATTATTCTTTTTTTATGAGTAAGGACAAGAGTTTTAAACAAATGTATGTTTTTATTTTAACTAAGTAGAAATCTATTTTAAAAATAGAGGTATGCACTTACTTGTTGAAATGCAATAAAAAGAAGTATGTACAGGGAACCAGGAGTAAGACAAATAATCTTCAGCGTTATTTGACCTGGTAGATTATTTCTAGAAATATAAGGAATCATCTTTGAATGCCTTTCTTCACTTGACTTCAAGGAGTCTCCACGCATTTGTGAATTTCTTTTCATTTTACTCTCTGCTTTTCCTCAATCTTTTTCCCAGCTCTTTTTCTTCTCAAAATCTAAATATTAGAATACACCAGCATTCTGCCTTTCGCTGCCTTCTCTTCTCCATTTACATAAACTCCATAGATGATT